GTATAAAATTAATTTGTTTTATAAAATGTTTGCAAAATAGATAAAATAGCATAAAGAACTCATGTCATAAGACCTTTTGTCGCACTTGTCCATTATAAAACTCGCTCCTTCGTCGCTCGTTTTATAAATTGTCCGCGTGCGACAAAATGACGTCTTATGACATTAGTTCTTTAATATACTATTCTAATTGAGACTGTTAATTAATGTAATCAATAAGTAAAGTATGGTGGATTAAATTAGGTTTGTTTATATTTATTGGGTCGGATATTCCAAGATAATCGAAATTTTTTATACCGACCGTCAGAAATCTTATTTTGACGGTAGGGATAGCAATTTCTGATTATCTTATCTAATAAATACCACATTTAATCCACCATAATAGATACTTCACTTATCCATTAAAAATTATTTAAATAACCACTATACAGAATTTTTAACCCCCCCTGGTGAGATGTATGTTTTTTCTTTGACAGTTAATAATGTCAAATTGAAAAAGTCACTTTTTCCCCCTGTGACTATGTTGAAAAATAAAAATGAAGCGACCGAAAACATTTTGTTTTTCCAGTTTTGTAAGGACTTGACCTACCTTGATACAGTAAAAATGTTGCCAGATGTTTGTTAAACCGACAAATGACTACTTTTGTGTTAAAATATATATACCTACCTCGCAATCTTTATCAACTTTTGACAAATCAAAATCGTATTTGTTTCCCTCAAAAATGTCATTTCCTTTAACAGAAATTTCAGTGTTTTTGCTGATATTTTGCATGATTTCTCCCATGGAAACATCAGTAAACAACTTATTGTCATCATCAGTGGACTTTTTTTTATTCTGCACGTTTTCCTTTAGAAAACACTGTTTAAATTCCTTGAGGGATTCGGATTTTTTCACATGCATTTGCGGTGATGTGATGTTTTTAAGCGACTTTTGTCTCATGCTGAAATTAATACCCAAGGCTTGAAAAGCGCTGTTGAATTTTTTTCTGTAGTCATACGAAGTTTCCGTAAGACTTTTCGAGACAAATTCCTTGAATTCTTTCTGCGTGATTGTCCCCTGCACGTATAACCTCAAAAAGTTCCTTATTGTGCACTCAGGGCACCTGTGCTGAATCAATTTACATTTGTGACAACTTTTTTTTCTCTCGTAAATATTTTCGATACTTTTGTTTTTTGAGTTCTTGGAGAAAATGCACATGTCCGAGTAGGACTTATGCAAATTCATACCAATCCCATCATTACTTTTAACCACCAGGTTATCTTTGAAGTCATTTTTTTCCACCAAGTAATAGTTATCTTTGTCGAAAATCAATTTTTTGTGCACGATTTTCGACACTTTTTCCTTAACTTTTTTAGATTCGCTGGTTTTAATTTTAAAATCAGTCTGAGAACACCTCGTTTCACTTTTCTTTCTGTTTAATATCGAGTAAAAGTTGCTCAAACATAAAGGATCTATTCGTGAAAAAGGACAACTTTGGTCAATCCATATAAAAACGACGAAACTCGTTGCTCGCCCATCTTGGATTTTGATCAAATTTTATAGAAATATTCATTAGGGTCCCAAAGGACAAAATCCACCCTTATTTATTTTTTCGCATGTGTCAACTCCGGCCTAATCGAATTAAAACTTTTTAAAAACGTCATTTTTATGCTTTAATAATTTAAGCTGTAATTTTTTTTCTATTAAAGATATTTTAAATTTTAAGATGTCATTTTAAAGCTAAAAAATAGTAGATTTATAAAAAAATATAAATTCACTCAATCATCATCTAAATAATTACACTGTGCTGAAAAAAGGTATATTTTACTAATTTTTCGTGTTTTTTAAATCCCATGTCTCGGCTGTTTAATATAAACAGCTAATTTTGTTTATATATAAAGTTTACATACCAAAGACAAAATAAAACTTACATACATATATTATTATTATTATTATTATTATTTCCAAACAAAAAAATTGCTTGAAATTTTAAAATTCTAGAAAATCTCATTATTTAGGCCATTATATAAAGATGTTGACTTCCAAATAGAATTATGAAATTTACAGGATAATTAGACCCTACCTTAAGTCGTTTTTTCGCGTAAATACCATGCAATACTACGGTTAAATAAGTCATGACGTCACAGTTAATTCATATTCATAGTAAATTTAAAAGTAAACTACGTACACGTCATCAATCAGCTGATCGGGCACGGTTGTCAATGTGATGCTAAAATCCTTGCATCAAGGGAAAGTGGTAGTGCAACTACAGGGCGATAGATGGCGTTAACATGAATAATACCAAAATGTCAAAAGTCTGAGTTTTTATAACCTATATGATGCACCGCCAAAAGTATGTTTTTAGCCATTTTTAAAGACATTTTCTGATATAAAACCCAAAAATTTTGCCATCTAAAGTCAGTCTCTGGTATATATATTATTATTTTGTGTATCCAACATATATTTTGTTAAATATTCTAATATATAATTAATAATAATCCTATTTACCTCTCTAACAGCTGTTAAAGGTAACAAAGGTCCATTATTATCCCGTTCTGCCTCAAAATAGCGTATTAAGGATGACACCAACTCTTGACTCCGACTATTTAAATGTTTCGGCATTTTAAATATAGGAAACACAAAAAAACGATATATAACAAACACAAAAACGGCAATGAAAACTTAAACGATATAAAACAACACAAACAACAAACAAAATAAACGAAATAATACACGAATTAAACGAAATATTCAAAAACACAACTGACAGCTTCGAAATTCTAAAACGTCAAATTCTTTTTTATGTGTCATTTAAATATGAAATATTTGAATGTAAATATGACAACATCTTAATTGTTGCCAACTGTAGATGTTTAAAATGCATTCAAATATTCAATTACAGACTTCGATTTAGTCATTTAGTGTTGGTACCAATGCGTAAAATTTTTGTTTTATTGATGACGTGTACGTAGTTTACTTTTAAATTTACTATAACCATGGTTAGGTTTCTAACATTTGACATTTGTTTACTTGTTCATAACCTATAAATTTTGAAATGTGTTTTTACCTATTTATATTTAATTTCTATGCTTAAACCGGTGTAAATACATTTATTTGCCTTTTCTTATACCTAGTATATTCTTTTTCTATACACGTTATATCCAATTCTCATACATGTTTAATACAAAATAAGGAAGAATATAAAACAAACCTGCATATAATTCCTCCACTTGTGGAGATTCCACAATATGGAGCACCCTATCATTTATTTTTACTGACAACACCCCGTTTACCATTTTAATACAAAGTTTAAATTCGGTTTAAGAGCAATTGTACCTACTTAAAATATTTAAAATTTCAAATGTAAACAACTTTTTGACAGATCGAAACAGAAAAATATATATTAAAAAGAGAAAGACTATTAACCACGTTGAATAACTAGCTCAGCGATATAGTTTTATGGTCTGGTATTTGTGACATCATAGTTAGGATTTTTGAACCCACTCTAAACGCAAAAATGCCTAAACTATTAACCACGGTTAAGTTTAATAACCATAGTATTTCATGGTATTTACGCGAAAAAACGACTTTAATGTCTGGTAGTTTGGTTTTGGTATTTTTATCTTTGAAGGTTATACAATAGCTTTAAATGGAGAAAAATATTGAAATAATAAAAAGTCGCATTATTTCATCCATTATATAAGTATGTTGACTTTAATATATTAATATGACATTAACAGGATGTTTAGTCCTTACCTTGAAAATGAAATGCCTGTTTGACTTGTTTTGATATTTTCATCCATTTTGCTTATACAAGGGCTTTAAAAAACGCTAACACATGGAAAATTAAAAAACGATTCATTTTATCCTTAAATCATATAAATGTTAACTTCTTTAAAAGATTGTGTGGCTCATTTGGTTTTTTTTATTTTTTTGTGATTGCACAGATACTTTAAAAGCAGCAAAAAATAATAAAATTTAAAAAAATCGCATAAGTTATATGCATAAAGTACCTACATAAATATGCATAGGCATGCATAAGCCAAACATCATAGTAAGGACTAAATATCCTGTAAGTTTCATGTTTCTATCTTGAAGTCAACACATTCTTAGAATAGAAAATTAAACAATAATCGTTTTTTAAATTTCAATATGTGTGCTCCTTTTAAAGCCCATGTAAAAGCAAAATGGATGAAAATATCAAAACAAGTTAAATAGGACTTTAAACTTCAAGGAAAGGACTAAATATCCTGGTAATTTCATATTTCTATATTGAAGTCAACATACTTATAAAATGGATGAAATAATGCGACCTTTTATAATTTCAATATTTTTCTCCTTTTAAAGCTACTGTATAAGCTTTAAAGATGAAAATAACAAAACCAAACTATCAGGCATTTGAACATCAAGGTAGGGATTAATTATCCTGTAAATTTCATAATTATATTTGGAAGTCAACATGCTCATATAACGGCCTAAATAATGCGATTTTTTAGAATTTCAAAACGGGCCAATTGTAAGTTTTATTTTGTCTTTGGTAAGTAAACTTTATATATGAAAAAAATTAGCTGTTAATATTAAACAGTCGAGACATGGGACGCATTTAAAAAACACGAAAAATTAGTAAAATACACGTTTTTTTAGCACCGTGTAATTATTTAGAAATAGTGAATTTATATTTTTTTTTATAAAAAATACTATATTTTAGCTTTAAAATGACATCTTAAAATTTAAAATATCTTTAATAGAAAAAAAATTACAGCTTAAATTATTAAAGCATAAAAATGAAAAATTAAATAAGAGGGTGGATTTTGTCCTTTGGGACCCTAATGAATATTTCTATAAAATATGAGCAAAATTCAAGATGTTCGAGCAACGAGTTTCGGCGTTTTCATATGGATTGACTCATAGGTTAAACAAATATTATAAATATTGGGGAATATTTATGATATTAGTTTATAAAGGATCTAGTGCAAATTTTGCAGCGTTATAAATCTCGTTCGAAACAAAAAATCTCACTTACCGTTTTCCACGGGGTTTTTGGCGACGAAATCCGGAAGTGTGCGCAGCACTAGCGCCAAACACTGCGCAACGTTGTGCGAAGGTGCGCAGCACAAAGCGGGCGTGAGGCCCTGCGAATCCACAGCCAATACGGAGGCACCTTTTTTCAAAAGTTCCCGCGTCACGTCCACCAAGCCGTTCCTTGCCGATATGTGCAGAGGGCTAGACGTAAATAAAATGCATGTTTATACGGTGGGTTATTATCACAGACAGGGTTGCCAATGGTACGGTCCTGACCGTACTTTTACGGTATTTTGATTTAAATTACGGTTTACGGTCCAACCTAAGGACCGTACCCCAAAAGTACGGTATTTTAAGGAAAAAATATCAAAACAGAAACTATTAAATTTTCCATAATTTTATTTAATTAAAGCGATTTAAAAATATTATGATTTTGTCTGACTGTAGCGCCATCTCTAGGGCATTTAATGATTAAATGCCCTAGAGATGGCGCTAAATTTTAATCTACATATAGTAGTGTTCTGTAAATTATAACTTCTTTCTTCCCAGTTTCTAATAACTGCCGCTAGTGTTAAACTCATATCAAACTTGTTTCGCGGTATTCCCAGCGTTCGTTTATTTCTGAAGTAAAGTTATAATTTGTTATTAAAAACCGATTGAAACATGTCCAGTGATAGTGATGATAGTACTACTAGCAAGGTTTGTCCTAGCAAAAAAAATCCGGGCATAAGAAACAGGTAAATAGGTTTGGACTAAATATTTATAAATATTTTTATAAACGTTTGTTGATTTGATATAGAAATTTCGGCAGGAATGGCTTAAAAATCCAGATTACCAAGCATGGTTGTGACCAGTAGAAGATTATATAATTATGAATTGGAATTGTGATTTTGAAAATTTTAAAATCACAATAGTTGTGATTTTGAATTTTCAAAATCACAATTTCAATTCATAATCATCATAATAATTATTATTATAAATTATGATAATTATGAATTATAATTCATACATTCAATACATTTTTTATTTTATCTATATATTTAATAAATATTATTTATGGTTTTGTGAACAAATTTTACAAAATTAAATATTTTAAAAATTATGCTTGTTTTGTTGACGTCATATGTGAAAATGCGAAAGTACGGTCCTGTTTTGAAAAGTACGGTCATTTTTTAGCCGCCGGTACGGTTTTGTTATTTACTACAGTTGGCAACCCTGATCACAGACCACCAAAACAAATGGACGGCGCATTGCCATTCAATAACAATGCTTTGTTTCCGGTCAACAAACGGTCACAGTCTAAGCGTCAAATTGGAGATAGAATTTTATGTTTTCTTCCAGTGACGTATTGGGATTAAAAAATAATAAATAGGTAGGTACTTACAAACGATATTTCCATGTATTGTTATTTTTATTAAAAAATAATGTATTTAAACTCCATAATTAACTTAAACACGATAGAAATACAAAAACGAAAACACAAAAAACAAGCTGTTAACCTTTTTCTTTGCTGTCAAATATGACGAATAATCATAATTATTAAATGATTTACTTTCTTTAAATGGAGAAAAATATCTAAAGAAAATGATGAACAAATCCTTTTTACAATTTTTTTATTATTCTAACGAATTACTGGTAATTATTAATGTTCATTATGTTATGATGAACGTCCAAAAAGGCGTGTAATCTATACTTCTGACAACGTTGGAAGCCGTGTTTCTTTCGACGGTGTTTAGAATGTGAAACTATGCTTTACTCGCTTTTTAAACGTAAACAAATCCGTCCATTTGTTTTGGTGGTCTGTGGTTATTATACTATTAAGGCTATTTGCCATTTGTTAGATAATTATTATAATAGTTTAAAGATTAAGGTTTAGCACTTTAATGATGTTTTACAAATTCAAAACAATTAATAATCAAAACATATTTTAAATATAAAACTTTAAGCTTAAAAATATTGATTTTTAAAAATTATAGTTCAAAAATGGGTATTAAAAAGTAAAAAAATGAACAATGCAAATTGACGTAAAAATGTGAAATATTTATTTTTTAGAACTTTATGGGGCTAAAAGTATTAATGACCAATTCTAAAAAATGCTACATACGTTTTTTTCTCCTTGTTCGTCAAATGGATGGTGGGTTCGCTAGTGGCGTCCTCTAGGATGGCCAGGGCGCACTGCGCATGTCTTTTGAGACATGCCAAATGTAGTGCGGTGTTGCCGTCGTTGTCGCTCGTTGCGCGACTGACTTTGGTGGCAAACAGTAGTTCTAAAAATAATGGCTGTTTTACTTTTTAAACCCATACGAAATATTACGTTAAAAATTAATACTTTAAAAAATAATTTGCACTGGAAAATATTACCTTTAAAATAATACATTAAATAGAATAATTATTATACATGTCAAAAACTATTTTTTATCGCAATATTTTTCTGACACATTAATATGGTGGTGCTTGATAGCACAGGGCTCCCACGGCTAAATTACAAATTTTATTTAGGAATTTAGGAGGTTTTTTGTAAAATTTTAGGAGAAATAAAGTATGGAAATAAATTTCTTTAATTAAATAAAAACATCTCTTTACTAATTAAAAAATAAATAAAAAAAAATACTTCTTTTGTAACAATAAGTTATATTGACTAGTTTTTTAGCCAAATCGCTCGACGAGTTTTTTTTTAAATAAAATTAAAAGTGAGGTAAAATTACTACTTTTGTATATATCTGAGTTACATAAATATACAAGTATAAATTTCACCACACTTTTAATTTTATTTAGAAAAATGCGTCGATAGATTTAGTTAATGCCAAAATCAAATGATGTTATCTTTATATTTTAAGAAAAAACATGTTAACCGTTTAGTTAATAACTAAAAGTAATTAAATCGATAAGGTTAAGAATAGTACAAGTCCAAAAGTAAAATTTTTGATAAAATATTTCAAATAATCAGTTTTATAGTTCTAAATGCATTTTTGTTAGAATATTTTAACTATTTTATGAAATATAATATTCATTTCCTGTAAAATAATTTATATCTTCTAACAAAAATGTATTTTAAACTTGATTTTAGAAAATAAATTGTCAAAATTAAATTTTTGTAATGTGGATCTTAATACTTAAAAATCTCATAACAAAATATGAAGTTTGCAAAATATAGCAAAACATTCTTTAGATTGTTTACTATTTTAGCTGTCATTTAAAAGAAAATTAAAAATCCTTTTGTTTGGTATATAACACGGTATATTTTTGACAAAAAAACGAAATATCGCTAAAAATGACAATTTTGTAGAAGTTTTTATGTTGTTTTTTAAGAAAAATTTAATTTGTGATATATCATTTTAAAAAGAATTTAATAAAATAGAACCTAAATATATAAATTTTTAAATTAATTTTTAAAAAAGATTTTTTTAGCACTACCTTAATTAAACGCAGTCAGGTTGGCCTATTTAAATTTAATTTTTAGGATTTTTAGGAGATTGAAGGCAATTTTAGGAGAATTTTAGGAGTTTTGAAGATTTAAGCAAAATTTTAGGAATTTTATGAGTTTTAGGAGGTGTGGGAGCCCTAATAGCATTGTTGACAATTCAAGAAATGTCAACATACATACAAATTGCATTTTATATAAATAAGTAGTTTTTCACAAAAGAGACAAATTTTGTTCGCAAAAGTTTAAATTGCACAGCTAAATCGCTCAAGTTATTTTTGTTTCGCGTTGTAACTAAAAACTTTGGTTTAGTACTCGAATTCGATTTATTATTACTTATATAATAATAATAATAATAAATATCTTTATTGCATAAATAATGCATAAATTATAAATACAAAAGGTGAAAGTTCAGTTTGCACTGTTCTGTTTAAGAAACTCAACGCTTATATGCTTATACAGGGTGTCCCATAACTAAAGGACAGTACAGCAACTGTAGAAAAATGTCTTAGTAAAATGTTAATAATAAACGAGATACAGGGCGATAAATTTGAGATCTAATTTTTGAAAATTTGTTATATTTGGAAAACTATTTAATGTATCAAATTTGCATTTCTTGTTTGCAATGTGAATTCAAGCCAACATTACTCTTTATAAAATTAATGTTTTTCACAAAAACTTTAATGAAAACATGTCCAAAACATATTTAAACATGTTGTAGTTAAGGTTTTAAAGTGTCAGAAAAAAAAACGGGAAAATTTGGAAAAAAAACTGTTTTTTCCATTTTTTTCCCAGTCATTGGAAAAATTGAATTTTTTTTGTTAAAAATATACACATTTGAAAAAAAAGTAGCAATCAACAACTTAACATTATTTTAATTTAAAAAATATCCTAACAGGAAAAAATAAATAAAACTAAACATTGAATTAAATTAAATTGATATGAAATAAACCTAAACGTTAAATGTACTGTCGGTTGTTTTTTTTTTGCAAAAAGGAGTTCATTGAAAATATCCAATTAAAAAATAATGAATGATTAATAAAGTTAAATTACAAAATTATTATTTTATAAATCGAAGTGTCAAATAAAATGAAAGTTAATACACCACCAAATATGTTTTTTTGCGACCCGGTAGAATATTCTTACTGAATTAAAATAAAAGGAATAGGTAATTATTATAATTATATTCAGCATCGGAAATTCACTTTTTTCTCGATATCAGTGTATAAATTTGAAAATTTTCAGAAAAATTGACTTTTGAATTTTCTCGTATTCAGCCATTCCACGTTACTCGGGAATTTTTGTAGCGTCCGTTACAATAAAAAATTGTGAGTAAAACTACCGTAATTATGATGCTTATAAGCTTAAGCCTAATTATTACAAACATAATAAACATGTTTGCAATAGTAACTATTGTAATAGTATTAAATTTAATTACGGTAGCTTTTACTCACAATTTTTTATTGTAACGGACGCTGCAAAAGTTCCCGAGTAGCGTGGAATGGCTGTATTACCCTTTGAATAAAATTTAAAAAATACAAAAGTCAATTTTTCTGAAAATTTCCCAATTTATCCGTTTTTTTTCCGGCTCAATTTTTACGGAAATGTTAAAACCCTAGGTTTTATTACAAAAATGGCCTTCAAACCAAAAAGGTTGTAATAAATATTTAAAGTAATTTTTTACCATCACTTTTTTAATTTTAATTTTATCGTAAAAAAATGTTTTACTCTTCTAAAATTTTTGTAGAAGATATCGACAATTTTACAAATTTTTAAAATTAAAGAAAATTTGTAAGTTGGCCAGGCTAGATGTAACTGCCTTAAGAATGCCAACTGAAGCTTGATATAATTATATAATTAACATTTAACTGTTTTAAGAAGTCGACATAAGCTGGATATGTTTTATTTTTAGTGTAAAATAGCATATTTTTTGCCTGTTTTGATATCCCCAAGTTTTGTAACATGAAATTTTAACTGTAAATTATTGGGAGCAATATTATAACTGAATTAAAAATATCAACATAAGCCGAAGTCAACTTTGCTTACAACATGTATAAAGCCCTAAAAACAATTTCGAAAAAAAAAAACAACTTACCGATAACTTGCGTTTGTCCGTACTGCGCAGCCGCAACGAAAACTGTTCTCCCTTCCTCGTCTTGCGCATGAACGTCAGCGTTGTTGGCCAGCAAGAATTTCACGCACTCCGTGTGCCCGTTTAGGGCTCCTATGTGCAGAGGCGTACGCATGCGGCAGTCTTTCAAGTTTACAATTTCTTGACCGAATTTGTTTACCAGTAGTTCCAAGCAACGCTCAGAGCCAGAAAAGCTAAAAGTATATCGAAATTGAAAAACGCATTGCATTTAAGCATTTACCGTTTTATTTCCAAAATAATAGTATATTAAGTTTGTTAAACGCCATTTTATATACGAATTTAATTTAATTAAATGGGTTGCATACTATACTTTTTCTACGATAAATACTTATTATTATCTAAAAAATTATTTATATTAAATATTTGTATAAAGCGACATCTATAGGAAAATAAAGTAACCATACCAATAAACATTTTTGACATAATTTTCACCATTAACATTGTCCGTTATTATTTTAATTAAACTTAACAATTATTGATACTTTAAAATATCACAAATTGTCAAAAAAATCATACACGGGAAATGTTAAAGGTAGAAAAAGTGACAGTTGTATTTATTGGAATTCCCGTTAAAATTTATAACTAGGGAATCAAATTTTTCTGTCTAAATCAAAATTTATCCCTTAAAAATAGACTAACAATCCATATAGAAGCAGTTTTTCACAGTAAAAGAGAATAGTATGTTTTATGGACAAAAATTGTATGGGATGAACTAGGTAGTACCTAGTAGGTACCCCATAAAATTATGCCATATTTTAAATTGGAATAAACAAGTGTCACTCTTGAAAAGGGTTTTAAAGTGTCGAAAAAAACATTGGGGAAAAAACCTGTTTTTTTCCCAGGCCTTGAAAAATCTGTCTTTTTTGGGAAATATACACATTTGATAAAAGTGGCAATCAACAACTTAACATTATTTTAAAATATCCTTACAGAAAAAAAAACAAAAATAAACATTGAATTAAATTAAATTAATTTAAGAAAATAAACGGAAACGTTAAATATACTGTTGGATGAATCTTTTTTGCAAAAAGGAGTCCATTGAAAATATCCAATTACAAAATATTGAATGATTTATAAAATAAAATTACAAAATTATAATTTTATAAATCATAATCATAAACGAAAGTTATGTTAATTCAGCACCGAATATTTTTTTTTGCGACCCGGTAGAATATTCTTACTGAATTAAAATAAAAGGAATAATTATTATAAACAATATTATTCAGCGTCGAAAATTCACTATTTTCTCGATATCAGTGTATTTGTAAATTTTTAGAAAAATTTACTTTGGCATTTTTTCGTAATTCCCTTTGAATAAAATGCAAAAGTCAATTTTTCTGAAAATTTACCAATTTTTCAGGTTTTTTTTTCGCTGGCTCATTTTTCCGGAAATATAAAACCCTACTCTTGAAACAAGTAGACATACTTATATTTTTAAAAAAAAAACACTATCTGTTTGTTCTTTAAAAAAATACTTAACTTGATGGTACATTTATTATTAATATTTATATTGTTATTGGTAAACCCATACTCTCCAAATTTCCTATACTGTGTTTTGTCAACATTTAACTTAAGGTCATTTTTTTGAAAACATTGAAAAATCAAATCATTAACATACAAAATAAATAGAAGTGGGTCAAGAATTATAGCTTGTAAATGAACCTTTTTAAATTTGCATTATATTTGTCCAAAATATATTGCAGATATCATTTTATTTTCGTAAATATTTTTTTAAAAATTATAATTTTTAAAACTTACGTTGCACAATGTACTGGAGAAAAAGAGTTTCCTTCCAAACTCTTAAAAATATCCTTCTCTAACAAGAACTCAACACAATTCGTATGACCTAAAAAAAAAAAACAAAAATACTAAAATACATTTTAAATTTGAATACTTTCATACCATTGTAACATGCCCAATGCAAAACAGTACAGTTCTGATTGTCCACAGCCTTTGCGTCTTCTTCCTTCATAAAATTCAAAATCATTTGCAGACAAGCGAAATGACCGCAAGCTGCCGCCAAATGCAGAACATTTTTTCCGTTTACGTCGGTATTTGAAACGTTCGCCTCGTTACACAGCAATAATTGTACCACGCTGTTCTGGCCATTGACAACCTAAAAAGTTGAATAAATAAATTATTCGCGCCACAATCGTGCAAATAAATACTTACAGCTCTGAATAGACACGAATGTTCGTCGGTATCGACTATATTGGGATTTGCACTGGCCTTCAAGAGTATTTTAACGCATTCTATGTGATTTCCAGACACTGCCAGCATAAGAGCTGTCCTATTTTGCCTGGGAAAAATATTAATAACACATTGATAGTAAATTCGTGTTCCACACACAATTCCCTTTGATTTGATACCCAACATGCCCCACTTCTATTTTATAGCAACACCTAGCAACACAGCAACACTAATGTTGCTATATTCTCAAAATATGCCGTGTGGGGTATCAAATTGAAGGATTTTTCGTTCTCTACAACATAAAATGCGTCATTTACCCGTCAACGAAATTCACGACGCTCTTGTCGTCCGAGTTGTTGACCATCATCGACAGACACTGCGCGTGTCCGTTTTTCGCGCTGTAGTGCAAAGCGCTCCAATTGTTTTTGTCCGTGATGCTGACTTTCGCGCCGAATCGCAGCAGGAACTGCACAATTTGCGTGTGGCCCTCGCGAGCGGCTATCATTAGCGGGGTGATGCCGTCTATCGTTTGAATGTCGAAGTCTCTGTCCAACAAAAAAGGCGTTATCTTTGTTAATATACAGGGTAGGGTAGGGTGTCTGTAAAAGGTCTTTACAGAAACACCAAACCAGGACTTTTAGAAGAAAAAAAATTATTAAAACCAATTTTTTTAAAGATTTTAAAAAATTTTGTAGGTTCTAAGTTTTGTTGAATTTTTATCCAAGCAATAATTTTTCTTAAAACCGTAAAATATTTAGAGGGCATATAATTTTTAAGATGTATCGTAAATAATTTGTATTAATAAAATAATGTGCGTTTGAGTTTTAATGCAAAATATTATTAGTTTTGACAATTTAAGTTATATTTTTTAATTTTACTCCAGCGTGGCCTTTATTTACTTTGTAAGTACCATTTTGTAAAATATAAATTAAAAGAACAAAGAAATTACGAATGTCAATGTTCTAGAAAGAGAGAGCAAACAGTTAGTAATTATAGCGTTATTTTTACGTAAATTTGTGGTATTTATATTGTTTTTATTACGTTATTCTCTTAGTAGATCAAAAAGGTTATTATGTAGGTAAAATAACGAAATAAACCATTCCTCAAATTTGGTAATTTTTCGTACCTATACCGTTATAAAACCGTTTTGGTTAACCGTAAAAAATACTTTAAAGTTGACTTAGTAGTCAATTTGTAGTATTTAAACTTAAAATGCTGCTTGGGATTCCCTTAAACACTTGTATGTTGTAAAAATGGAATACCACTACTTCCAGAAAAAAAATTTCATCTTGGCTTTCCGCCTAGGATAAAAATTCTTAAACTTTATATGACTAAAAACTGGTCGTCAAAATGATGATTTTGATGTTAAAAATGACAGGTGACAGGTGTTTAATAGTTATTTTTGATGTAGGAGTTTCATTTTATTTGGTGAGTTTTCTCTTTCTTGTAAGGAAAATTTACACTTACTCATAAATAACTATTATTCGTATTTCCTTTTCATATAGCTCATTTTTGACATCTGTTATAGAATATTTTTTACACATTCACCTCTACACCTGTCATTTTTGACAACTGTCACCTCTCATTTTTGACATCTGCCATCTGTCATTTTTGACATTTGTCACCCGTAGTTTTTGAAAAACGACCAAGCTCCTAGGAGGAAAAGATACCTATACATAGAAGGAAACTTGGCGCACCCTGTATATTCATAAATTGGTTTAAAACATTGGCACTATAAAACATGAAAATTACAGAAAATTATTATTATTGTTAAATTTAATAGTAAAATATATTTTCCTAGAAGTTTACAAAAAAATAATAAATTTTTACTTATTTAAAATTAAATATTGTTTGAGCCATCAAGTAGATGTATTGGTACACCATCTTTACAAGACATGAAAATTTAAAACATGTGGTCCTGATTAAACATGCGAAAACAAAAATTGTTTTTTTTTAGCAAATGCAAAAATATTAGAAGACTCACAAATTCTGAATACATTTTTGAAATTACCTTAAAAAGTTACCGTTAGAAATAAACTTTTACTTTTATAACCTTTAAAGGTAAGGAGTTAAGAAATTAAGGAAAAAAATGACATCCTATGAAAAATTAAAAAATTGTAAAAATCGTGAAACCTTCAAAACTAAGATTTTTTGTTATCCTAGTCTATATATCATTTACACAAAATTTGAATTTTTGAATTATTCTACAAAAAGTGATCTTCCTTTTGTAGATATCTTTGAAGATTATAATTTTACAAAAAAAATGTATACACAAAAAACGTAGGGAATTTAATTTTGTACAAAAAATGTTTTTCAACTTTTGTCAAAAAATTGACAGATAACAAGATATTACACTTAAAGTAACTGTCTTACCTAAAAAACGACAACAGCGGTTTCATAAGTGCCAAAGAACCGACTTTAGCAGCTAGATGCAGTGCGGTGACCGTAGCAGTGGAATTACCCATAGATTGGCTACTGGTTATGTCCAGAGACCTGGTCGCGTTTTCGTTACCCCCCGCGATCGCGTAATGCAGGGGTAAAAGACCCTTCAAATCTAGAGCGTTGATATCTGCATTGTGATCTTAAACAAAAATTTGAAAAATTTATAAAAACGCTTCATCAAAATACACTCACAGGCAAAATAATTGACCCACACAAATTTTCGATGAATTTCAATCGCAAATAACTTTTTTATTTGATTTCGGATTTCAACAAATATTAAAGAATATTATAGATACATTAATGGAGAATCGATCACATTTTAAAAATTACTAAAAAATACGCGTACGTTTTTAATATACAGGTTTAAACAAAAAGATGTTTTTACCATAAGTTTAAGACACTCTGTAGAGTGGCAAAACCGTATTTTGTTCTAAATTAAGTTTTATTTATCAAGTCACATCTATTTTTAACAGTTTTGTTTTTGGTTCGCCTTGATATATTTATTTTGGTGGAAAATATGGATTTTTTTAAAAAACATTGCAATTTCCAATATTTTTCCTGTATGAAGAACTAAGGTTGCTATGGTCCATCCATAGCCTATGGAGGATGACAGTGACAGTTTTGTTGAATCATCCCATACTTGGACATGTCATATACAGCTTTCAAAAGCTATCAAATTGTTTTTTGTAAATTAATGTGTTAATTTTGAGGTGTCTTCTTACTTTTAAAATTGTCTCCGACTGATGTTGCCCTTTGTACTTTACTTCTTGTGACGTTTAAAACACTTGCCACGTAATACTGTGACCGTCCATCCTGGATTAAATTAATGGCTCTGGCAACATCAGTCGGAGACATATTTATTTTTTAAAGTAAGAAGACACATCAAAATTTAAACATTAATTTGCAAAAAACAATTTGATAGCTTTTGAAAGCCGTGTATGACATGTCCAAGTATGGGATGATTCAACAAAACTGTCACTGTCATTCTCCATAGCCTATGGATGGACCATAGCAACCTTAGTTATTCATACAGAAAAATATTGGAAATTGCAATGTTTTTTTTAAATCCATATTTTCCAAAAAAATAAATATATCGAGGTGAACCAAAAACAAAACTGTTAAGAATAGATGTGACTTGATAAATAAAACTTAGTTTAGAACAAAATACGGTTTTGCCACTCTACAGAGTGTCTTAAACTTATGGTAAAAAACATCTTTTTGTTTAAACCTGTATATTATAAACGTACGTCTATTTTTTAGTATTTTTTTAAAATGTAAGCGATTGTCCATTAATTTATCTACAATATTCCTTAATATTCGTTTAAATCCGACATCAAATAAAAAAGTTATTTGCGATTGAAATTCATCGAAAATTTGTGTGGATCGATTATTTTGCCTGTGAGTGTATGTAAATTTACCTAGTAAATACTCCACGCATTTGCCATCCAAGTCATACCCGGCCGCCAGATGCAACGGGGTGCAACCCTGTATATCCGACGCTCCGACAGGGCTGCCAATTCCCACCAGCGTGAAAACGCATTGGTAATGTCCCTGTGACGATGCATAGTGCACCGGAAGTCGGCTTAAGTTGTCCAGTAGCGTTATATCCGCCTTGTTGCTGACCAGCAAATCGAGACATTCTATCGAGCTGCAACATAAAAATAACAGTCCCCTGGCCTAAAAACACTAAAAACACTGAGGTAGTTAAATTTTTTCTGACCTATACTTTTTATGGTTTTATTCAAGGCGTTTTGTATTATTAAACATTTCTGTGAAATCAGAATTTCAATTGAGTTTACCGTTTTCGAGATATTTACAAAAAATATAAATTTTTATGACGTCACAAACCTCGCCATGTGACCAACATTCTAAGATTTCTATTGGTTGAAAATTACCCTGTTGTCAAGTTGTCTTGTTAATGATTTCATTCGGTTATGTCAGAAAATACCCGAAGAGGTTATGTACAAATACTGTCACTTTCAGTTGAGTGAAAGAAGAAGAGGAGGTTAAAGAAAATTCTGAAATTAAAAGTTTTATTGATAGGTTTACCTACATATTGGAACACCGTGTGAAACCTAATAAAATGTAATAAATAGGTACCTAATAACTGTCTAAAGCAGAGTTTAATATATTTCATAAAAAAAAGTGTCAAAATAAAGCTGAAAATGAATGAAATAAATTTACAAAAAATAACAGTAAATGTAAGTTAACAATGGTATTTATGATATTTGTGTATAGTTTTTATAAAACTTGCATCCCTGATGATGAGCATCAAAACCTTTTGTAAGATTAAAAAAATGTATGACAAACTTTTGACCTGTTCGAAGATACTACGCTCTAGAGTACATTTTTGGTCACCAAATTCATTAAGTACCTATCTTCCTTATTACGAGGTATCATATTACTGTTTGATATTTTAGAGTCCAAGATATATCTAAAGGAATATAAAGAACTAGGCATTATACTAATGAAATGCATTTACGACAAAATATGATTATAATTATAGGTACTTACTTTATTTGTTTAAAAGCTCCAATGTTCAATGTAACCAACCATTCCACAAGATTCCTCTGCTTTGGAGTCCGTTATTAATAAATCACTTATCTGATATCAATTACAAATAACATAACAATAACATTGATTTTCAATAATATAAATTTAAAAAAAACATAACCCGAAAAAAAGAAACGTCAAAAAATCAATTCTTCTTCTTCTTCTCAACTAAAATTATAGATCAAGTGGTTTTAAAACTAAAATATTATAACGTGGCGCCATCTATCGTAAGAATCTTAAACTAAACACACTGGCAACCATAGAAAAAGCTGGCAACGTTGTCAATAGCCTAGTGACGTAATTAGGAGATTTTTTTTTGTAAATATCTCGAAAACGGTAAACTCAATTGAAATTCCGATTTCACAGAAATGTTTAAAATTACAAAACGCCTCGAATAAAACCATAAAAAGTATAGGTCAGAAAAAATTTAACTTCCCCATTACCCTTTATATGCGGCACAGTGTATAGGGGTCATTCCCCTGTCGTCTTTGACGTTCAGGTCGACGCCTGCCTGTATGAATTTCCTGCAACATTCGACGTATCCCGACAGGCAGCACATGTGCAGTGGGGTGCGTCCCTCGTAACTAAAAAAAGAATTGCAAATAAGTTTACAATTTTTTTTTATTGGTGAACGTACCCTTTTTTCGTAGGGTCAGCACCGTAACTTAGCAAGGTGTTTGCTAAAAGGTCGTGACCTTTCTGAGCGGCAATGTGCAGAGGCGTGCAGCCGTTTTTATCCGCTATGTCGATAAGGGCACCTTTAAATACATTTTTATACGTTAATAATTATAAATATATATTTTTCTCAGTAATTAATTTACCTTTGTCAATTAAAGGTTTACTTCTACTGAATCTACCGTGTATCGCGGTCATGTGTAAGGGTGTTCTTCCATCGTTGCTTTGACAATTTACTTCTACCTATAGTAAAAAAAATACCTCATTAAATAATAGTCCCCAGTAACTTCTGTAGATTAACATTGACATTGAAGTTTCAATGGTATTTTTGTCACTTCTTTTAAAGCTTCATTTTTGTAAATTTACTATTTTGTCAATAAAAAAGTTAAAATCTGTCCCTTTTGCCCCATTTCTTTATAGTACTTCAAACGAGTGGCGAATAGCGTCAGTTAAATAGTAATTGTTGATTCAAAACTATTAAAGACTAAAAATAATTTATAATAACCATTATCCTACCAAAAAGTACGCCACTTTAGGCTAATCTGGTTGCCTGATTTAATTTATTATGTTATGGTTGGTAACAACCAGCGTTTCCAGATTCTGTCAAAAAAGTTGCCAAATTTAGTTTAAATTTAGCCTAATTACAAAAATGACAAAATAAACAAAGCAAATTGTTAATTTGGCGTTTTTATTAATTGTTTTTTATGTCATAGTTATCTTTTTATATCGATAATATAATAATTAACAAGTAAATTATAACTAGTAATACCACTAGAGGTCAAATTATTTCCGGAAATTTTTTCGAGCTCATGAATATTTTGAAAATTATCCCGAGTCGAAGACCTCGTGTGGTATTCGGTAAGAAAATTCCACACCAAATTGTGTTTAAATACCTAATTAAAATTTATTTTTTGATTTAACTTGACCTCGACTTGATTATTTAGTTACCATGGCAACTAAGTCAACCCCAACCTAAAAGTTATTTCAGTTTTGAAGCTGTCAAGCGGCACGACGTAAAAAAAATGTGAAATTGTCTGCTGTAATGATCAATCATCGTGCAATGACTTATTTACCCGCATTATTAGAGGATTGTGGCTCCTACTTGAAGAAAGAAAATTTGTTTTGAATTGTTCACGAATATTTGCATCTTAACTATTCAAAACTCAAAGTGCTAAATGGAAAAAAAGGTGAATAGAATAGTGTCTAAATATTATATATATTTCATTAGACATAGACATTTAATTTATTTCAAGTCCTGCATTTTCGCCATTAAGAAGAAAGGAGGTGTCCAACAAATATAGAAAGCATCTAAACTTTGTAATGGAAATGTATCAAAATTATCATGTAAACAAATAAAAACCAGATTGTCAAAAAAATATTCTGTCATTATAAACGTCAAAAAAATTTCCAGTATAATTCGCTGTTGGGTACCCACGAGGAAAAAATTTCCACTAAAATTCAACCGTTGCCATGGTGATCTATCAAAAATACACGTTTTGATTGGTTAAAAATTACAGGTGTGGAATTTTCAAAAAAATATTGTGTCATTATAAACGTCAAAAAATTTCCAGTATAATTCGCTGTTGGGTACCCACGAGGAAAAAATTTCCACTAAAATTCAACCGTTGCCATGGTGATGTATCAAAAATACACGTTTTGATTGGTTAAAAATTACAGGTGTGGAATTTTCAATAAAAAATATTTGGTGACACCCTGTAAAATTAAGGTTCCGAAAGCCGCTCGCAGACGCTTAGTGCGCACACTTACCCCTTGGCTGAGCAGGTAGGTGAGACAGTCGACGCCGTGCGCGCTGGCCGCGGCCACGTGCAGCGGCGTCTGACCGGCGAAGTTGACGCGCTCGAGATCGGCGCCGTCTTCGCCCAAATCCTGCAGAACTCCCAGGTGACCGTTGAGGCAGGCGGTGTGCGCAGGCGTGTTGCCGTAGGCGTTCTGCGCGCCATGATCCGCGCCGAAGACCAGCAGCATTCGGCCCATGCTGTAGTCTGCAAGAACAATTGAACATGCAAATACAGGGTGTTTAAGGAGGAGGAGGAACTTAACATCAGTTTAACTAAAAAACTGTGCGTCGAATCAGGTTAAGACAAGGCGCCCTTTAAAAAGTTATACCACCTCCTAAAAACATTCTGTGTACAAAAAATTAAATTTTTATTTTAAAATTCAATAAAATAGAGAATTTTAACAAGGTGGTTGTTCATTTTTGCTTATTTTCATTTTAAATTGTAGTCTTCATATATGTCGTCATATTAAGCTTGTCGTAATCTTAATGGATCATTTAATGATAATTGATTTTTTGGAAAGTTACAATAATTGTTAAAATCTATAGATAATAAAACTAAACAAAAAACACTTTAAATCATTTTATCTATTTTGCGTTCATAATGACTTCATTATAACACCGCTTTCGGTGCTGTAATGCGATTCTTTATCCCACCCAAAATTTTGATTTTATAGGTTGGCTATGCTTTAAACAGCATAATATTTTGCATATTGGTTATAATATTTCTATGATTTTTCTAGTACTTATGGGACTTTTCTGGGAATAAATTTTGTTAAACACCAGCCGCTTATTGTAAATAAGTAAATTAAGGACGGCACACAGTGGTCTGAGAGGCAAATTTACGCGGCAAAAATCCAATTTTTAAAACACTTTAAAAACGCATTTTGATGCCTCTTTATTGTTCGTGACAGATTATTACCTACGATTTTAAACTGCGAAGTAGAATTTACTGCGTATGCGTTGCGTTATAACAAATACATGAAAAGATTGTCAAAAATACTCTTACTTTCGGAATCTTGTATTTTTCGTGTAAAAAAGGTGTATCTATATAATAGTGAAAATTAGTGTCAAAAAGTTATAGTACTTATATAGTAGGGATAAAGTTGAGTACAAATATAACTTTAAAATGTCTGTTTTGGATTTTTTGTCAAAAATATAGCGTTTTTTAACTTACAAAAGCTCAAGTATTGTAATTACAAATAATAAATGGAATATAAGTAAAAATTTATAATTACTTGCCCAGAACCACATAGTGCATTCGAAAATATGAACCTCCAGCTCCGACTTTATAAAAATTCATCTGCCTTTATGCGCCTATAAGAGAGTTATACAAAAATGAAAAATGGCCGACAAATTACCGCTAACCTGGTCATAAAAGTAATATATTTTTTAAATTTTACAATAATTATGCATTTAAGAATGGTAATATAATTTTCTTTACTCCTATTACATAATATTATTTTTTTACTATACTTTGTATATTATAGTGTGCCCACGGATGGTAATGACAATAGAAAAAAACTTGTTTATGAGGTATGATACGAAAAAAACATGTTTTTTAAAAACTCTTGCTTGTTTCAAAAATAGGATTCCTACACAAACATTTTGAATTAAATGTACAGGGTGCTCAGAAACTAAACAAACCCAAAAAACTAGAAGTGCGTTTGGAAAAATGAATTCTTTTTGAAAATATTTGATGGTTAAAAATTAAGACTTTCATAAAAAGATGAATTATATATACAGGGTGCTCAGAAATTTAAAAAAAATTATATATCAAAATAAGAGAGAAATGTGGTAAGATATTCGTAACGGAATCGCAAAAAAATCATTCTTCATAAAAACTTCTGCTTGTATTTAAAAATGAGATTCCTAACAAACATTTTTAATTAAATGTCCAGGGTGCTCAGAAAATAAAAAAACAGCAAAGTGCTTTAAGAGGGTAGTACAATATATATATATATTGCAGTCACTCACGTGTGTGCGTCAGTATTATCGTTAATGTTAAAGCATACAGAACCCAATTGTTACTAATGATGCGTAAAAAGTAAATAAACTAATACTTTTTACAGTAAAAATTGAAATTCAAAATTGTAGCCATGGCTGTTAAAATATATAAAACTTATAATGTAATATAGTATTACAATCAAGTTTTTTGCAAATATTATTTTTCGAAAATATTCATTTTCCAACTGTCAAAAAAAATTCATCAAAATATTGCGAACGAGTCTTAAGTTATAAATTTTTCTTTTAAATGCTGTAAAATTAGAAACCTACTAAATATAATAAAAACTTTACGAATTACTGGTCCGTTAACAGTAGTGTCACACATGGTTAAACATGACATGGCTCAGTAAACCTGGACATTTTTTATATATTGTTGTCACTTAAGTTTGTGCGTCAGTATTGTTGTTAATGCTAAAGCATACAGAACCCAATTGTTACTAATGATGCGTAAAAAAATAATAAACTTTAATAAATCAATTTTTTACAGTAAAAATTAAATTCAATAAAAAAATAAAATAATCATTTGGAGCCATGGCTGCTACTTTTAATTTAATATAGTATTACAAACAAGATCCATCTCTTATAGGTAACTTCGCCTGGTTCTTTTGAACTTGCCGGTCCCAAGCCATTTTAATTTAATTTTGTAATCTTCGGATCCCCCCAGACATTAAGGAGATCCAAGGACTTCTGGAGAACAATTAATCTCAGATGTGAGTATATAATAAAAATATAATTTTTTCAAAAATCATTGTTATATTATAATTTAGTCTGTTTTAGATTGCTTTAGATTGTGATGGAACAGCAGTCGTCCAGGAAATCCATATGGAACCCTCCTTTTCTAACCCTCTCACTTGGACCAATTTTAGTTTAATTGTACAATTTTTGGATTGTTCAATTAAATTTAAATTGTAGATGGATCTTGAAGGTACTTTTTGATTTTTGCCTCGGGCACATCGGTAATCCGTGCCAACCCGTTTTTAACGTGGACCACGTTGTTGCGCACCCGCACTAATCTATTTGTAACTTCATTATCTATCGTTTCCTTTTCAACCCTTCCTTTTATTTCCCTATTTTGACCCAACTGGGAGGACTTCAAGAAGAGCCAAGGACTTCTGGAACTTCTGGAGATCATTAATCTTATATGTAAGTATATAATAAAATTATGTTTTTTCAAAAATCACTGTTATATTATAATTTAGTCTGTTTTAGATTGCTTTAGATTGTGATGGAACTTTAACAGCAGTCGACCAGGAAATCCATATGGAACCCTCCTTTTCTAACCCTCTCACTTGGACCAATTTTAGTTTAATTGTACAATCTTAGGATTGTTAAATTAAATTTAAATTGTAGATGGATCTTGAAGGTACTTTTTGATTTTTGCCTCGGGCACATCGGTAATCCGTGCCAACCCGTTTTTAACGTGGACCACGTTGTTGCGCACCCGCACTTATCTATTTGTAACTTCATTATCTATCGTTTCCTTTTCAACCCTTCCTTTTATTTCCTCATTTCGACACAACTGGGAGGACTTCAAGGAGAGCCAAGGACTTCTGGAACTTCTGGAGATCATTAATCTTATATGTGAGTATATAATAAAATTATTTTTCAAAAATCACTGTTATATTATAATTTAGTCTGTTTTAGATTGCTTTAGATTGTGATGGAACTTTAACAGCAGTCGTCCAGGAAATCCATATGGAACCCTCCTTTTCTAACCTTCCACTTGGACCAATTTTAGTTTAATTGCACAATCTTAGGATTGTTGAATTAAATTTAAATTGTAGATGGATCTTGAAGGTACTTTTTGATTTTTGCCTCGGGCACATCGGTAATCCGTGCCAACCCGTTTTTAACGTGGACCACGTTGTTGCGCACCCGCACTTATCTATTTGTAACTTCATTATCTATCGTTTCCTTTTCAACCCTTCCTTTTATTTCCCCATTTCGACCTACTGGGAGGACTTCAAGGAGAGCCAAGGACTTCTGGAACTTCTGGAGATCATTAATCTTATATGTGAGTATATAATAAAATTATTTTTCAAAAATCACTGTTATATTATAATTTAGTCTGTTTTAGATTGCTTTAGATTGTGATGGAACTTTAACAGCAGTCGTCCAGGAAATCCATATGGAACCCTCCTTTTCTAACCTTCCACTTGGACCAATTTTAGTTTAATTGTACAATCTTAGGATTGTTGAATTAAATTTAAATTGTAGATGGATCTTGAAGGTACTTTTTGATTTTTGCCTCGGGCACATCGGTAATCCGTGCCAACCCGTTTTTAACGTGGACCACGTTGTTGCGCATTGGCACTAATCTGTTTGTAACTTTATTATCTATCGTTTCCTTTTCAACCCTTCCTTTTATTTATTCATTTCGACCCAACTGGGAGGACTTCAAGAAGCGCCAAGGACTTCTGGAACTTCTGGAGGTCAATTAATCTTGTATGTGAGTATATAATAAAATTGTTTTTTCAAAAATCAATGTTATATTATAGTTTAGTCTGTTTTAGATTGCTTTAGATTGTGATGGAACTTTAACAGCAGTCGTCCAGGAAATCCATATGGAACCCTCCTTTTCTAACCTTCCACTTGGACCAATTTTAGTTTAATTGTACAATCTTAGGATTGTTGAATTAAATTTAAATTGTAGATGGATCTTGAAGGTACTTTTTGATTTTTGCCTCGGGCACATCGGTAATCCGTGCCAACCCGTTTTTAATGTGGACCACGTTGTTGCGCATTGGCACTAATCTATTTGTAACTTTATTATCTATCGTTTCCTTTTCAACCCTTCCTTTTATTTATTCATTTCGACCCAACTGGGAGGACTTCAAGAAGCGCCAAGGACTTCTGGAACTTCTGGAGGTCAATTAATCTTGTATGTGAGTATATAATAAAATTGTTTTTTCAAAAATCAATGTTATATTATAGTTTAGTCTGTTTTAGATTGCTTTAGATTGTGATGGAACTTTAACAGCAGTCGTCCAGGAAATCCATATGGAACCCTCCTTTTCTAACCTTCCACTTGGACCAATTTTAGTTTAATTGTACAATCTTAGGATTGTTGAATTAAATTTAAATTGTAGATGGATCTTGAAGGTACTTTTTGATTTTTGCCTCGGGCACATCGGTAATCCGTGCCAACCCGTTTTTAATGTGGACCACGTTGTTGCGCATTGGCACTAATCTATTTGTAAC